ATGTGTATAAGAGACAGGCGCTGGCCCTCGTTACCCTTCTCAGCTTCACCTCCCGCTTCTACCGCCTGCCGGAGCCGCCACATGTCTGGTACGGGCTGGGGCGGGGCCTGTGCCTCTCCAGAGGGGCATCGTCTCGGGGGGCAGCGGCGGGCCGGGCCCAAGCCCTTGGTGGCGGGTGGGAGGTGTCCCGGAAGCAGCCGGCCGCGGGCGAGAGTGCGCCTAAATCCCCCGCCCCTGTCTTGTCCGGTTGGGAACGGATCAGTGTTTATTCCAGGCAGGTGGTGGGTTGGGATCCCGGCAGTGAGGGCCACAAGAAAGCACCGTGCTCTTTGGCAAGCCCGGCCCTGGCCCCTGACCGCTACCTTTGCGGCTCCCGGACGTGTTGCAGAGAGGGGACCGGTTCTCGGAGAGGCGGTTTTGGGGATCTGTGGCTTGCAGGCTGACTTTAAAATCTCAACCTGGAATCAGAAGGGCAGGCTAGAGGTTTTGCAGTGCTAATATGAATCTCTTTAAAAAGGACCCTGCCTAGAATGGCTGAAGTACTCTCCATGATTCCCTAGTGAAGTTAATGCATTGTCTTTGAACATATGGCACTAACCCTCTTTATAATGAAAAGCATGAGTAAAAAGACCTCCCTGTTTTTTCTTACAGTCTTCAGCATTACAGCAGGTTAATGGTGGTTGTTGTTTGGTGTTTTTTGGTTTTTTTTCCCAGTTGGGATGAAACTCATTTTGGGAAGATGGGAAGTTACTACATTAATCGGACCTTCTTCTTTGATGTCCACCCCCCTTTGGGGAAGGTAAACTGCTCTTCTGTTAGATGTTTTAGAAGCAACAAGACTGGGCCAACAAAATTCTTCCCCTTCCTTCTGGCTGAAGGATGTGATGAATACCAGTACTTTTCCTAACTGTTGTTGGCATCATGGTAATTTGCATTGTGCATCCAGAGCCTAAACTCACATCTTTTCTTCTTTATGAAATTACTTTGAATATGGGAAAACAGAACAGTGTTGCATATTGGGTATTTGAAAGGCTTGAAATTAAAAAGTGAATGTGGCATTTATGTGGTTCAGAGGGGATATGTAATAGAACCCTACGGTTTAAAGAAACCAAACAGTTCCTGATAGCTTGTGTACAAATGAGATGCCCACCACAAAGGATCCTCAAAGTCCTGACTTGCTATTTTGTAATTGAATAACTTGTTCTAGCAACAGTGTGCAGTGTTGATGAAGGTGCACTCCTGCTTCAGAAAAGTTATTTTCCTTTCAGGCTGTCTCATTAAACTATAGGAATAGGGAGATAAGGGAGAGGCTGCAGAGTCAAAATTCTCTCTGCTAAATCTCACACCTGGTATTTCTCTTGAGCTTGCAGTTGTCTTATAGTCAGCAGCCAGAGTCTTTTTGATCCCTTCTGATTTTGCTTTTACGCAAAGGGCAATATGTATGCACGTGAATTCTGTACATAAACACATTGGATGATGTGTATGAAACTGTACATAAGCGCATTGGATAATATGTATGAATTAAGGAGTTATGCTCTGGATCAGATGGGTTCTGTAAAAATCTTACCTGCTGCTGGCTTGGATATTCCTTCCTCCCATATGATTTCCCTGACCAGTTTTTTCACCTTTCTGCTTCAGATGCTGATTGGACTTGCTGGCTACCTTAGTGGATATGATGGTACATTTCCTTTCCAAAAGCCAGGGGACAGATACGAGCAGCACAACTACATGGGAATGAGAGGGGTAAGGCTCTACAGGCTAGTTATCAAGCTGCTTAGCTCTCCTGTGCTTTTTAGTACAGACTGTTATGTCATAAGGACAGCTCTCTTGGATCAGAGGTCTGTTTAGCCTTGTGCCTTGTCTTTAAGCTCCTTAGAAAAGTGTTAGTCATTGTGTTATGAATATAATGAATAATAGTCTTAATGTCTGGCTGTGAGAAACCAGTTAAGAAAGTAAGGGGATTACTGAGGCCAACTCTTGCTGCTAATTAGTGGGACTATACTCCTGAGTGGGAAAGATATCTTGCCTATTCTGCAAAGGGAATATTGCTGAGCTTGGGCTTCTGCGTACTCCATTGTGCCTGGCTGTTCTGCTGCAGAGCCAAGGATGTCAAAAACCCAGGATCATCCACTGCCACCTGCAGTTTGCCACCACCAGTGACACAGCTGAGTAAGCTGATGGAGCAGGGAGTGAGGGAAATTACTATTCAGAGTGGTATTCTATCAGAAAGCCTGGCTGTACTGCTATCTAGGAAAACCAAGAACCGTAAAACTCGCAACAGGTAACACAAGCCAAAAGAAGAAACAGTGGCAAATTACTAGTACCTAAAAAGAAAAATAAAAACAGAAGGCATATTTTCTTGGTTTAGCTTCTGGGTCTCCAGCAGTTCATAGTTCTAGATTTCCCTAAGCCAAAGGTGTGAGAAGTGCTAGAACCAGACACTGAAGGAACAAATTTTACTGTGCTGCTTCTTCCTTTTTTCTTTGATTTCTGTTCTTCCTTATCCAACTACCCTCGGTCGCATTTGTGTAGGGCAGGTGATATTGGTCTGCTAAAGATGTAAGGTACAGGTGTATTTTGTTCTTAGATTTCATATTCTAATATCTTATTAAAATATGTTGAGTATGGTGGATGTTTAGTGCACCTACTTGACATCTTTTTACGAATATCTGATGTAGTTCAGCAAGAGAATGACTGTTGTTACTGACACTTCTGCAGAACAGAGTAAGCAGCTCTCCTTCTCTGAACAGTATCTTCGGTCATTTGGCTTTTGTGTGATGTTCTTAATGAGTCAGTTCAGCTACTGCAATGCCTCCTGTTGTTGGTAGGTGTAGAAGATGAGGGAAGCGAAAGGGTGTGAGTGCACATTCACCTTGGGGAGGGTTATAATTTCTCCCATGATCTTATTTTTCTGCAGTTCTGTGCGTTCCTTGGCTCCTGCCTGGTTCCCTTTGCCTACCTCACAGTACTGGAACTGTCAAAGTCACTCCCGGCAGCCTTACTCACAGCTTTCATCCTTATTTTTGGTAGGTGTTCCTGCTACAGCAAAATTGAGAAGGTTAATTCCTCAGAGTTTTGAATTATCATGTGTTACTTAGCCAGGGGATATTGGGGTTAATGAGAGAGGTTCCAAAAAGCAAGATAATTCTGATTTATATAAAGCTTTTTAATTTTGTGGTCCCTTGGAGAAATGTAGTCTTGTTTAGTTCATAGGTACTTCTGTTATCTGCATAACCACATTGGACTACATTTCACCCCAATTTTAAGAATTTTTAGAAGATGAATGGTCAGGAATGATTTTTTTCCCACTAATGAAATATTGGTATCTCACATATGAATTATAGAGGTATTTAAGAGCCTGCTACATTACTGTAAGAAGTGAATAAAGTTCCTTGTTGAATTGAGCCAAGTGGAGAAATTAACATTGCAAATGGGGTTACCCAAATTGGGGTTTTATGAGGTCACACAGATATTGGGGCATTGAGACTTATATCCAAGTCATGTTAGTTTTTTATAGGTAATATCAGAAAGATGACTTCTCCTGTGGCATCCTCTGC